CAAGCTGGTATAGAAAACACATTTGAACTTGGTCAAAGTTCCTTCTGCAATTCCAATGCTGCAGGTAAAGCCATGCTGCAATGACATGCTACATGGCAATGCACAGTTGTTTTTACATCGTAAAAACCCATGTCTAGTTGTATCTTGTCATGAATTGGCCTCAACTCACATAATGGGTAGCTACAAAGAGCAAAATTGCCTGAATATGAGCACAAAAATTGTATTTCTTTTTGCAGATGAATTAGACTTTTTCTCCAAAACTGATCTTTTTATTTGCCATTGAATATCCTGGTAAACACGGCACTGTTTGTAGAAACATAGGAAATGGAAAATGACCCAAAATGGTGTAACAACCATACCAAGCCTGTTTGTGGTGCTGTGGCACACATAAACTTTGAACACCGGGTCAAAATGTAAGCACAAGAAGAAGAAGAAGACAGCCTTGTGTTGTAGGAGTGGGCGATACTGGGAATTTTGGTAGCAATTTACCAAGTAAATATAAGTAGGGGTATCTGCAATACATGGGGGGAGTTACTTGATGTATTGGCAGAGTTTGGCAAAACCGTAAATGGTGGGATTTGACTTGTCTTGTGGGGCAGGTTAAAAAAGGAAGTAATTTAATTATAATCATCATGTAAACATAATTTATTGACTTTAAATTTGGTGTGACTAGCACCTTCCTGTCTAAAAGTATGAGTAATATTAATATTAATATTTGCAATCTTTTCCCAGGCTTGTTCAGGYTGTTTTGACTGAGCTTTTCAGTGTTCATCCAACCTAATTGTTATGGCTTCTTCAAACTTCATCCAAAATAATCAATCACACCAATCACATCTTACCAAAGTCCTTCCACAAAACTCAAACAGACCAATAATGTCTTGCACGGGCATAATTTTCTGGTGGGTTAGGGGGCTTATGGCCCCTACAATAATTTGGTTTAGTCAATATAATAATTAAAAATAATTATAAAATAATAATAATAATAAAAACAACCAATTTCAACACAACACAAACAGTACCATTAAATGAAATTTGCTCTAACACAGTAGAAATTAACACAGCTGCAACTTTCTTGTTATCTTTAGGTAACKTTGAACTGACCTCAAAAATTATGATGTCATATATGTATGTTTAATCATAACTGCATTTRTGTTTAAGCATAACTGCTAAAAATGACATGCAGTGTCTGCTCAATGGCTGTATTTGTTGAATCATGTAGTAATTTGTTCTAGCCAAATTGTAGTGAACCAGGTAAATACGTACTTTTGGAAAATTGAGAAATTTAGGTATGCGGTATACGTCCTAAAAATGCCAAATGTTCAAAAAAGCCTTTTTTAATTGTTGAAATGACATGGAACAGAAAAGTTGCAGCRTAAATACGAAGAAATCAGAAAAGTAAATCACAGTAAAAATATTGCAATGTATTTTAACCCCAAAAGTAAATGATTCAATACAACACAGGACAAAGATTTTAAGCAAGTAAATGTTTTTATTAACTAACTACATCAATATTAAACTTTATGATGGTATGAAAATAATAAAAAATCTCCCCTATTACCTTCTACTACATGCAGTTTGTTTAAGAAAAGAGGCACTAGTGCAAAATAACAACAAAAAAGCAGCAATGTAGCCATGATATTTTTATAACAATGTCAACAGCACAACAAAAATACGTTCCATTGCCTGAGAGCATGTCGAAAAGGACGGATTTTGGCTAATGGTCAACTCCAAACAATTTGGAGATCCTTTGTGAAAAATAAAGTCAGCAGTGTAAATAAAGTGGTAATAAATGTATCAATTTCATCATGCTAGTATCAGTCTGATACTAATTAGGGGTGTAAGAAAATATTGATACACTGAAATATCGCAATGTTTCATTTCCCAATACTGTATCGATATTCTAAA